TCCCATATCCCAACCCATACTCCATATCCCATACCCCATATCCCATCTCAAATTAACCAATCATATTTTTGTCATAAAATTAAATAATAATTCGAATTGAAGATGGTTGTAACAATTTACATTTTCATCACGAGTACAATGTACAAATAAAGAAAATAACTAAACATTAATGGCGAACAAATTAATTTTATTAAGTATTTTTGCTAATTATGTTTAGTAGTATTCAGATGAGATTGTTTGTATTATAAATTATTTTAAAAAGAATAAAGAATGACATATTTTTACCACAATTAAATAAAGTATTTGTTTGTTTAATTCATTTTTGAATTCTTCACAATTCTTTACAATGGTGAATTAATTTTTTTTTTTAAAAAATAATTGTTTGTTTTTATAGAAAATTTATTACTAAATCATGTTTGATAAATAGGATGATGAAACAGACAATTTATCAATTTATGAAATTAATACAAGTACTGGAAATTCCAGACAAGGAGGTAAAGCTAGAGATCCAGTATGGAATTATTTTAATGCAATAGAAATTCCACATGACTCTCACCTGTCAGCACAATGTAAATTTTGCTTTAAGTCATGGAAACATGGTAAACCTTCTGAATTGAAAGGGCATTTGGCTCTGAAATGCCCATTAGTTAGTAAAGAAGTAAAATTAAAATATTTAAGATCAATTAAATCAGATGATAATACATACTCTGCAAATAAAAGGCAAAGTGGAAATATTGGAAATAATATGGATCTTTGTTCTTATTTTGACAGTGATAGAATAGATGCACCAAAAATTTCAAGAGCAAATCAAGCAATGGTTTGTTTTTTTGTGTGTTGTGGGATCCCCTTTAGTGTTGCAGATTTAAAAAAACTTTATGCAGTGGTTATGAACCTCCAAAACATACCACCTTGTCTAATCATCTGTTAGATTCTGAGATTGCCAACATAACCTTAAAGATAGAAAAAGAGGTGCGGGATTCCAAGAATTTGACTTTAGGTAATTAATGTAATTATTTTAAGTAAAATTCATTAATGTAAATTTAATCATTAATTAATGTAATTATTTTTAATAAAATTTATTAATGTAATTATTAATTATTTATGTAATAATAAAAATTATTTAATCTTTCCTGAAAGGTATTGATTCTTGGACAAGTCCTCTTGGTCAAAGTATATATGCTTTTGTAATTATTACTCCAGCTCGTCTCCAATTTATATACTCAATTAATGATTTTTCAAGTGACAGGCATACAGCTCAATTCAACGAAGAACAATTGTTAAGAATAATTGATAATATTGGAAAAGAAAAAATTGCTGCAATTGTTTCTGATGCTGATGGCAGCAAAAAGAAGGATTGTATCTAATTATAAACATATTTTGCCAGTAAGATGTATTGCTCATCATATAAATCTTGTTACAAAAGATATTACATCATTAGATTGGGCTAAAAAAACTTTAAAAAAATGTCAAAAGATTGTTTCCTTTTTTCATAAATCACATTGTGCTGGAGCTGCATTACATGAAGAAATAATCAATTCATTAGTGTTTGGTGGGAATTTAAAATCATCAGTAAAGACTCGTTGGAGCACATCTTGGGATGTTTGTGAATCAATTTTATGCCTTGAAACAAATATTAAATTTGTAAGTATTTTAAATTTATCTTTTATTTTTTTATAAATTATAAAATGATCTAATACTCATAATTAAAGGTGGTTGAAGAACAACCTGAAATCTTTGTAAATGCAAATGCCATCAACAAAATCGTGAATTCTGGCATGATGTTGAACAATTAAAAGTAATAATTGGTCCAGCAAAACATGCAACAAAAGATCTTGAATATTCAACAACTACTTTATCTGATTGTTTTTTAGAATTGATAAAATTAGCAAGTGAAATATCAAAAATTCCTATTCAAAATGCAGATCTTAAACATTCATGTATTGCAATATTTAATAAAAGGTGAAGTGAATTTGATATTGATATTTATATGTTAGCATTTTTCTTAAACCCTAAGTATTGTGGTATGTATAACAATTTTTTTATTTTCAAATTTTTTCTTTTAATGATATTTATAACTCATCTTTTTTTTTTCAGAAATGTATCAAAAACTGCACTTAGTATTTGGAAAAATCAAGGTGGTGGTAAAACAAGCTCTGATCTTTTGTTAGTACAGTTAAGTCTATATAGAAATTTTGAAGAACCATTCAATGAAATTTATTTAGATGGTATTAATACTCCTATAAATTGGTGGACCTCTTTAGAACTTAAAAAAAATGAGGATTGCACTTGCTTTAAAATTACATTCCATAGTTCCTCATAATGGGGCATGTGAAAGAGTATTTTCTGTATTGGGATGGTACTTAGGAAAAAGAAGAATTTAATATATTTATATTTATTATAGCTTTTAAATGCAAAACATTGAAATATAATTTTTTTTTACAACAGAATTAACATTGAAAGGTTGCAATCAATAGCACAAATTCATTCTTATCTTGTAACAAATGCAAAAGATGAGTTGAAATACTTAAATGAAGAAATTTCAGTTGAAACATTTAACCGAATTGCTTTATCAATTACCAATGGAAATGATCTTTTTGGACAAGATGATAATCTTGAAGATGTTAGTCACCTTGATGATAATTGTGATGAAGAGGTTATAAATTTGGATGGTGTTAATGATGGCCATTTAATTATTACTGAAAGCATTGATTTGAATTCAAGTTTATTGTCTAATAATAATATTTTATCAAATGAAATTTATGAAGAAAATGATATTGATCATGGAGATACAAATTTTGACATTGATGAATTGTTAGATAATCATAATTTTGATTAATGATTGTTTTCTGTTGTAATTACAGAATTATTTCTCTTTTTAATTATTTTTATGGTTAATAATTTTTATAAATGATAAAATTTTTTTATTAATAAATATACATATATTTTGTTAATTCTATCAATGGGATATGGGATATGGGATATGGGATATGGGATATGGGATATGGGTTGGGTTGGGGTTGGATGGGGTTGGGTGGGATTGGGATTGGGATGGGATGGGATGGGATGGGATTTTAAGGATTTGAGTATGGGCGGCAAGTATATGTATGTTGTAGAAAATATTCTATGGAAAAAAGTTGTTACACGAAATTTACTTAGTCTCAATTTCTTAAATGTACGTATAACAAAATTCGGAATTTTCAAAATGCTAAGGCTTGGCCAATTTTCAGTTTAAGAAAAAACCAGCCAATAGGTTTTGAAGCTTGAGTCATGAACAATATAACTTATTGGTTAAATTTTTTAAAATGATATAATTTTTTTTTGTTTTATTATAAGCTTATAGATGATTTGAACCGTAACACAAAAATTGAGGGACTAGATACACTTTAAAGTCACCCATAAATTCTTGATGAATATAGGTGACACGCACCAATTTTGAGAAAAAATTCCCAATCAAAAATGCAATAAAAATTTTACAGTCACATGATTTTTGAAAATTGTCAAGTGCTAAATAAATATACAGTGCAGGACACCTAATCCCGCAACTTACTGCGCCACGACGACGAATTTGGGATACAATAAAAATTGTTTTGTCATGTGATATTTCCTAGTCATTCCATAAATAGTAAAATCGGCAATAAGAATAAACATTG